TCACAAGTGGCCGATCTTTGGCTTAAAAACGTCTGAAGTTTAAACATTTATATGAAAGATGAGGTTTATATTTTCTCCATATGACATTTAGCACAAACTCTAACATAACGTATCTGATGCTTTTTGAGGCATTGTGGTTGAAATCTTGGCAATTCGTAAAAAATACAAAGTGAATGTTCATTTGAATGCCTTCTCAATACGGGCGACGTCACGTGCAGCTACGTTGTACTGGCGCCTTGTTTTGCCAATAGCGACCGGTTCATCAATAAAGCAGAGCACATCGTCAAATTCTATCCAAATTTCATCAGGACGAGATGGCCACTTGTAGGTCTTGCCTTTGTCTTGTGTTTTCTCCATGAAAGTTATTTTGGTATCGCCATCATCTATGTCAACTTCGAGAACCTTCCCGATGAACCAGTTACCATCATATATGGCAGCCAGAAATCTGCCAACAACTGGGACAGCAGGTACATGTGGTGCAGCAGGTACAGGGGATACAGAAGCCTGTGTGGGCTGCAGTACATGCGTTTCCTGGGATATGGTTTGGTCAACATGGTGACGGCGCCAACCAACACATAAGTCATTGCCGCTCAGACAACCTGTACAGTAGCATGATACAGTTCTTGAAAAAAGAACCCCATTCTGCTGCATGACTGCGTGCAACTTCATTGTGCCATGTACAACCTTTGCGTTAGAGGTAGCTATGTCCTGTGCAGCCTTCTCTACTTCAGCAGTAGAGTACAATCTGTATTGGATTGATTTTTGATTGTGTCTCGCCCACTCATAAAAATCGTGGGCATCTTGAATTGTCGCTTTGCCTTGTTTTACTGCATCAGATGCCTGGCGTTTACATGCACCTCCTAGTCCATCACATGGACCTTTCCCGTGTCCACACTCAAAATAGTTCCAACGTGCCTCAAGCCCAAACAGCTCCTTATGCTTCAGAATGACATCAAACATGTACCGATTTCTGTACTGTGATGACGGGCTATCAGTCCAATAGTGAACATGCGTTGCATCAGGGAAAGTGGTTTTCAGTTCAGGTAACATCCGTTTTAGGATTGTAAGTACCGCAGTCGAGTTGTGCTGATTGACGTCAGACACATAGATAAAGTTTTTGTGTACCAGTTTGTCCAACTTGTAGTAGACCACTACAGGGTGAAGCGTGACATTTGTTGGGTTCCAGTATGCACTTTGGATTTCATCCATGCTGGAACATGTAAAGTTCTCAGCAAAGTCCATCTGTATGATGATATGGCCATCTGGGAGTGTATCCTTCAACTCATGGATAGCTGCATATTGCGACTTTACTCTTCCAACGTGGTCACGGAACTCAGCAAATTCAAGTAGCATATACTTCTTGAAGTCAGTGGCATTCTTTATTATCTTCACCACCTTCATTTTCTTTTTCCCCTCAACATCCACACGCCTCCACTCATCATATTCAACGTCATCCTGAATAGTTTCCAGCATCTGATCCATTGCGTCCACGGATACACTGTCATACGCCATATCCGGTGATTTTGGAACTTGTAATCCAACACTTCTCAGACATTTGAGTTTCATGGCCATATTCTGATGTTTGTTGCATAAGCAAGTGTTTCTTGAAATGTGTGATGTGAGCAAGATGTACCTGGGCCGTAGCCTACAGAATGATGCAAAAGACAGTTTCATATTCTGGTTTTCAATCTTGAACTTAGCATACACCTCAGACAGATAATCATTCATTATTCTTGTTTGATGTTTGACACCATTTAGGCTCTTGGAATCTGCTTTGCCTGGCATACATACGCTGATATCATCTCTCTCCATGAATGAGACAATTAGTCTCTTAATCTGCTCTCTTACGAGAGTGAGACGGGCTCTTCCTCGAATCTCTATTACCTTAGAGGTGGTCCGAGATAAACTTCTTCGTGACAAACCTGTAGCCTTGTTCAAACCCGACACACATCTGTACTTCTTAAGTACTTTCCCTCCAACAAGAGATGTCATCACATTCATTTTGCTTTGCTTTTTGTTGGCTGTGACACTTTCTTTAATTTCTCCAAAAAGTACATTAGCCATTGTTAATTGTCTAACAACAGTAGCTGGCAAGTGACTGGGACTCACACCGTTTTCCCGGAGATCATGTCTGGTTTTTGTTGAAGGTGTTGCTTCAGACTGTTGTTGAAGACTGCCTGTCGTCTGATCCGAGCTATTTTCAGTATTGTTGCGGCTAGTCTGTTTGGATGTCCCATACTTCGCCTTCATCCTCTGATATCGTTTCTTCCATTTCTGTTGCTTCTTTTTGTAGCTAGAGAGTTGTTCAGTCAACTCTTTTACTTTTGTATTTGCCCTTTTCAGTGTACACGAGCGTTTTGGTTTTCTCTGTTTATTTGGAAAAGTCATTTTGACCAAGAAAGGACCTGGGCGTGACCTTGACTGCCGAGATGCATCAGTACTGCTTGATACTGTGTCGACCTGGTCAGTTTCTGCATCAACGACCACATCTGTGACCTCAACTATGCTGGCACCTTGTGCTTGTTTCTGTGTTTTCTTTCGATCCCGGTATGCTTTACTATAGAGTTTATTCCTTTCACGAACTGCCTTTTTTTTCTTTGTTTGCATTTGATCAATTGGTATTCTGTACCCTTTGACTCGAGCACGTTCTTTGGCTAGATATTGACTGTCATTTCGTTTCTTTCTTTCCCGATACACCTTTTGGTTTTCTGCGTCTGTTTTCGCCATTTTCTAAAATCAAGCATAGACAAAAACATGCTGAAACAGTCGTCGAAGTGAAAGAGATGTTTGCACTATGAAATAGCCACCCTTTAAAAATGTTCATACTTTATTCTTTGTGAAATATGCTAATTTCATCAGATACGTTATAAAAATCATCACATACGTTAGTTGGTATTTAGGTGTTTAGACAGGAGCTTGAGTAAAATATAGTACTTTTCCTATCAATGAAATGCATACCGACAGAAAACATCAGTAGAATGTTGTGGTCTTCACTTCAGAAACATATCTAATCATTAAATTACATTCGTAAACTACGTTAGGTTGGCATCAGATACGTTAGGTTGGAAAACATGCTCTTTGGGAATTGCTAATATACAGAAAGGGATTCATTTTTTCCATCCTAATGAACAGAATCTATTTTATCAAATAATTATCACCTATGGGGTGGCTTTCAATTCAGATGACCCATTTACTAAGATGGCAAAGATTACTTACCAATTTGTGATGGATTGTTGAGAACCGAAACCAGGTTGCAGGACGTTCTTGGCTGAAAATCGGAAGTAGAGAGGTGGCACGGCGCGCATGTGCATTGATAAGATTCAACTTATCGAGATTACTGAAGTTCGATGACCATCTTCCGATGTCGCTGGTGTTATCTAACGTATCTGACAAAATTGTATCTGATGACAACTTTGCAAATTGGTCAGAAATTTCGAAAGTATACTCATGTCAAGGTTTGGGATGGACATTTCTCATAGGTGACACGTTGTTTTATGAAAGTAACAAACACAACATCATATATTGTAGTTTATCAGGCGCGTGCGGCAATAAATCATGCTAACGTATCTGATGAAAAGTATCGTACCCAGCTGGTATAATTTTGTGATTTTGTGATTCATGATTTTTCTTTAAGTTTTTTAAGAAATTGATGATAAAAAGTGTTAAGACTATGCTTGAACAAATCATATCTGACACATTGTGTTATAATGTTTGTTTAGTTGGTGTATGACTTCTTCACACAAAAGTGACCAACGTATCTGATGGTAAAATCGGGGACAGTAGAATATTGCTAGCCAAAGATATTTTATCAGAACCATTGCTTGAAAACTGCTGGTAATGATGATATATGATCATTACGCATGAAAAAAAAGAGTAAAATGCAGTAAAAATGTGCAGAATATTTAATTATTCAGTGGAAAAGTCACACACTGAGAACGGGGACAAGGCTGGGGACGACTTTATAAGCAACACTATAGACTGGTGAAGATACAAACTGAACGAAGTACATCAACATGTGTATTCATTTAGCCGTTCAGCTTGCATTATATGATTTGTAACAGAAAATATAGTTTCAGCTAAGATATTAACCAGGTTTTCCGCAGGGGACAGCACAATTGTGTAATTTACCATTTAGCTGAGAATGAATGCTTGATGTAGGCATTGTAAGAAATGGTTGGTATTTTAGAAGTATATATTATCTGATCTCATAAGTGTTATTTATCTTTTGCAGTTGGACCATATTTCCATGTTTGAGGGGAGAAAGATTTCCTCATCTTACTCACGGGTAGATGCATATGGATCACCAGAATTACCTTAACTGCACCTCAAGAGCATCTCAGATTATAACATATCTTCAGATTTCTTGGAATATTTTGTGGTCAAGCATTACATTGCCTATGAAAGAACAACTCTTGTTGTGTATACAGGTGTAAACATATTAAAGTTCTATCTGAACATTTTGCTGAAGTATTGGCTCTGTAAATGATGTCTGTGACCATCAGAATACACCATATATACACTGGACACTTGTTGGAACAGGACCTACTTGTCATCAACATGGTGTTGCAGAACATCTTGGGACTCTCTCATAAAGTCCAGTGTGAATCTAGATACTGACACCAGTAACAGTGCATGCTGGCACATTTATTTGTTCAGGCTTGGCATTTGGGAATATTTGCCATGAATGTTTAATACTCATGACCTTGGAATAAAATTACTTAATAGATCTAAAGCTTATTTATTGTTTTTTGTCTGGGATAATGCCATACAAAAAAAGTTTTTTAATATTTCTGGTATCAGCCATGATACTGAATTGATATTGAATATAATATCATAACAATGCACATGGAATGTGTGATAAATATTTCCAGTTTATGGGTCAAAATTTTCCAAGAAAATACAACAGATGCTTACCAATGAAATTTAACTTAACCAATGGCATAGCAGTTGTTGCTTTGTGAAATGAATTCTTTGTTGAAATATCAACATGTCTTGTTTTCGCATCACTGTTTTAGGGTCCAGCATACAAATTACACTGATTCATAGAACAATAGCCAATAAACATTGACATTTCTTGACCAGTAATCTTAAAACAGATTGGTCCAAATGGATAGCGGAAAATGTGAAATGACAGTTACCTCATTTGTTTGACTTGGATTTATTGGCAGAATATTTAAAATACACGAATATATGAAAAATAGGTGCAATTGTTTCTATCTCTGCATCAAGTCAATATGGTTGCACTACATTGTGTGCATCAGTGTTGACTGAGTGATAAGTTGAATCTATTAATGTTTTGGACTTGTGGCAATTTTTTTACTTGGTTCAATTGAGCCTCACAACCAGAAATATTAATTTAAAAACCCCTACCGTTTATCACAATTAATCTTTTAATCTTGCCCCTGCTATTAATCAGTCTGCAGTGTTATAACAATTATATTGCTGACGAGGTGCAACACTTTTATTTCTTCCCTCAGAAAAACATTACACTTCATTTATTAGTAAGTATCTTTCTAATGTAGGACATGTCATTGGTGATGGCCTCCATAATTCAGTGTATTTGTATTGCATTTTGGCCACTTCTGACTTGAAGTTGCTGCGTGCTGGATGATGATTCATCTTTTGGTTGCTGTACAGCAGAAATTCACTCCTGTATGACCAAGAAAAAAAACATTCATGTTCTGCAACAACATAGAACTAGACATAAAGTACATACACAGTGTAAAATTACCATTGTCCAACACCAGTTCTATTCATCACCGGACTTAACAAATAATGTTTACACAATTTGATGAATAAGTATATCACTGTGAATATTCATATGGAATACTAACAGCAGTTACTTGTTGCACAAACCTGAAACCACCTGAGACTAAGAGGTCTTTGATTGAAATATGCGAGTAAAATAAAACAATTTGACTTACATACTTTTAATATAACTATGATAATACATATTCAAATGTAGTTCGAAATTAAGGGGTATGTGGGTTTTACAGGATAGGGTTTGATATATTTATTTCAAATACTAGATTATAGTTATCAATATAATGTATTGACTTGCCTTCATGGTTATTTGATTAACTGTTGAGTGATTTGTGACACTATAAGTTATTATGTTTATTCTCCCATGTATTCTTTTTTGGTGCATGTTGATGAGAAAAGCTTTATTTTATTCAATTTGGATAATTATTTTTGGGATCAATATACTTACAGGCAGGGCTAAGAAAATCTATTTGGCATGCAGTAATGACTGTCATTCATCCAAAGTAGAGGAAATTATTCATTTTCTCTCAACTTTTAATTATTTCACAAAAACATTTTTTTTTATTATTATCTTTTTTTTTTTTTTCTTTTTTTTATGGGTTGGGGTGGGGTGGGGGTCTTTTGAATCTTTCTTGTTAATTTCTGACATCCGCACTTCCATACAGTCATTAAGTACATGTAGGTGAGAGTAAACTTATGGTGCAAACTACCAAAGTGCAAGAAATAGTACATCTGCATTATTATATCTATTCACATTTAATTTTCATAATTACACATCAATTTATGCACAGGCTTTCTACATTGCATTTTAATTGTCTCCTTCATAAAAAAATATTTATAAGTAAGTTTCTTCTCCAAACTAACAAATTTCTTAATGGAATATTATTTACTTAATTAAAGGTGTGTGACAGAGTAAACATGGTAATTATGACCAAATATAGTGCATATTAAATTTTAAGTTCCAAACACGTGACTGGGTTATTAAGTACTATAATTGCTAAAAAAATAAATAAATACAATTTACTAAAATAAATTTCACGTTTAAAAATATATTCATAGCATAGATTTTCCAAATTTCATCCTCCAAATCTTGCCTAATTTAATGCCTATTCAAACTGTCAAAGGCACGGCTTCCATGACACTGCTCATGCCGTCAGATACCAGAATAACGTGGTAAGTTGGGGAAAGTGGCCTACCCATTAGTAGTTACATCTTCATAAATGATATTACATCACAGAAACATGTAACACATCCTCCGTAATCATAAAACACTGTCCACTGAGACTATAAATACACGTCTGAACGATAGTACCGCACTGGTTGTCAAAATTATTTTAAAGTTAAAGAAAAGAACACATACCTTTACGAGCGGTCCCATGGTTGTCAGTTGTCATTCAGGAACCGATAAACCTGACAGTATTGACAAATAACCGATCATATTATTGTGAAATAAGTAAACTTTTACGACTGTCAACAGCGGTGACAACCAAGCGTGGTAGTTCACTTGGTACCGTCTACAGAGTTAGCTTTGGCGGCCGCGCATTTCGAAAGCAGCACTAGTTCACGCGGATAGGCATGTCACCGGAAATGCTGGCAACGGAAGTAGCGCTTCGCGAGACTTACGGGCCCTATAGAAAGTGTGTTCTGTGTTGTGATTGGCTAATTTAGGTCACATGACCAAATGTCAAAGGGTGAAAATATGATTTGCATTCCCTGAAGCAAGCTGTGTAGGAATATATAATTACTCAGCATTTTTTGCATACTAATTAACAATGGACGCAAATTGAAATACAAAATTAACATTCATAACAAATATTTTGATTTTCTCAATTCATGGGAATTATTGAGATTTTAAATTTTTTAATTAAAAAAATTTATTATGAAATAATTACCAAAATCACAATCACCATAGCGACTAACGCGCACCTGGCGAATCCTCAGATATCACTGTTCTGTATATCAAACGGCATAAAATTTCCAAGACCAAGCCAATTCTTCAAGAAATGTGTGCATATAATTTAACGAAAAATAATCTTCATTTTGGTTAAGTTATATCGTCAGTTTTAGTTATAAAATAAAATGAAACGGCTATTCATGGACACTATTTATATGAACTTATAATATTGACTATTACACTCCCGAGAAATATACATACATGTGACAGGTACATTTACATTTCATCTTGTAACACTTGTTCAAATTAAAGAAATATTGTATACGACACTTTAAACTAATCAACTTCATATGTGAACATTGTTCATACAAACAGGAGATTATCAAACGTTCATATATGTTCTGGCCTATATCTACGTATGATATCATATTGAACATTGATTAATATCCAAAGTGAAATTAATTGTCTGAAAAAATGTACAAAAGATATCATCATGAAACAGTAAAAAGCAGTAAACAATGATCGTGTGTACCTTCATTCAAGGACCTTCACCTGAGAGAAATTTCCAAATATGTACAACAAATATGTTTAAGTTTGACATCACTACCGGTGACCGAATTTTACAAAATGGCGTGTTGACTGTCAACAGACGGGATTTTACGAGGGGTCTTTTGTTAATTCAGGGTTCGTATATACATAAATGTGACATGTAAGTAATCAGAAACATTCTGACAGTCTGTGTACTGTTTTTTGTTGTTGTATTTTTCATTGAAACCAACGAAAATAGTCAGAAATTCCGTTGTTGTGCGTGATTTTGCGTCAGTCATGGCGTCACACAGGACGGAAACTTCGACAAGTTCTGTTGAAAATATCAAATCATTGCAATGTATACATGTTTAATTCCCTAATTCTTCCTACGATTCTCTTCCCGTGTATATTCTGAAAATGCAGATCTAGAGCCAATGTACTCAACGTATAGACGAATGGTTTTGTTTATATTTCCATCAAGTGCAGTTTTTTCAGCGTTCGTTTTCACACCTCATTTATTTTACTTCATTACATCTAGACAATTTGTATTGGTGACAAAGACCATTTGGCATTTGATTCTAAAATGTATTTGGAATTCAAGGATGTAGGTATCGCAGCTGAAATATACGTGATGGTATTTGCGTCTCATTACCGGTGTACGTTAATTACCAAAATCACAATCAGTATAGCAACAACAGAACGTTCGATGTTGACGCCTCACAACCGAGTAAGTACGAGGTGTTAAAGAGTGCGCATGTTTTTCTAACTAAAACAATAGGTTTACAATATCGATAAATACTAGATCTATGTGTGTGTCTATTTCCGGAATTTTATCGAGTATTTGCATCTTGGAAATTTTCATTCGAGCCCCTCAAGCTAACGCTTTCGGGTTTCGAGATGAATTCCCAAGATACAAATACTCGATAAAATCCCGGAAATAGACACACACATAGTATTTATCTTCTAAATGTAATCCAGGATAGGGCCACATAAACCACTTCTCTCAAAAAAATGTTCCCCTATTTCCTATTTGTTTCATAAAACGTCACAGATCTAGGACCCTTGAGACACATGCCAACTTCTTGTTACGTTTTTGAACATTCAGGAAAAAAGGAAGTTGAAATAAATAAATAGATCTAAATGAATAAATATATAACAGAATGTCCCCCTTCTTTCATGCGTGAAAATCATATTCATCAACTTAAAGTGGCCTCACTTTTAGATTTTATGAGAGTTTCCTTTTTAACGTATCACCAGAAAAGGCGCTTACTTATTTGTGATGTGTTTCCAGATCTTCTTTGCTGCATTATTTGCTACTGTATTCGTAAAGGCGGAATTCAGCGTGTCAAAATTACTTTCAACACCTGACAATGATATCTATGTCAGCCGAAGAGAAGTTTCTTTTTCTGTTCTTTAGTGCAGAAGCGTCCATAACATATACCGTAGTTCTATGTCGTCTGCCGTTTCGAAGGGGAACAACTCTAATATAACAATCTTGTGTGGTTCCACACAAGAGAGTTACCGGTGCTATGTTTTGCCGATACAGTTTGTTATCGCTGGATTTACTATTCAAACCACCACACTTGACAGCTATTGATGGAACTATCGATGTGGAACAGACTATCATGAAACGTCAACAGGCTTGTTGTTATCTATACTCACCATTAATAAGCTTTTATTTCATTTATGTTTAGCATTTGGCTTTCCTTTGATGAAAATTAACAGGTGCGCTTCCATTTCCGGTTTGAATTGCATAGCATTAGGATTTAGTAAATCTAATCTCACTCTTATCGTAAGAAGGGTTTACGACGGGTTTCAACAACCGAGCAATCCATGCTCGCCGTAAAAGGTGACACTGCAGGTCGTAAAAGGCGACTAACAGGATCGGGTGGTCATGATCAGGCTCTCTGATCGACTTGGTTGATGCATGCCATCGTATCCCAATTGCGTGAATCGATGCTCATGATTGTCAATCACTGGATTGTCTGGTCCAGTCGCGATTATTTCAAGACCGTTGTCACATAGCCGTAATACTTCTGCGCTTCCATTTCCTGTGTGAATTGCATAGCGTTAGGATTTAGTAAATCTAATTTTCACTCTTATCGTAAGAGGGGTTTACGACGGGCTTCAAAAACACAGCAATCCATGCTCGCCGTAAAAGGTGACACTGCATGTCGTAAATGGCGACTAACAGGATCGGATGGTCAGGCTCTCTGATCGACTTGGTTGATGCATGCCATCGTATCCCATTGCGTGAGTCGATGTTCATGATTGTCAATCACTGGATTGTCTGGTCCAGTCGCGATTATTTCCAGACCGCTGTCACATAGCCGTAATATTTGGTTGGTTTGTTGTTTAACGCCGCACTCAGCAATATTCAAGCTAGATGACGGCGGTATTTAAATAATCGAGTCTGGACCAGACATTCCAGTGATTAATATCATGAGCATCGATCCACGCAATTGGGATCAATGACATGCATCAACCAAGTCAGCGAGCCTGACCACCCGATCCCGTTATAGTCGCCTTTTACGACAAGCATAGTCACCTTTTACGGCAAGCATGGGTTGCTGAAGACCTATTCTACCCAGGAATCTTCACGGGTCTCATAGCCGTAATACTACTGATTGCGGCGTTAAACAACAAACCAACCAACCAACATTGCCGTACGTTGCCGTGTTTAACGCCGCACTCAGCAATATTCGAGCAATATATATAACGGCGGACTGTGAATAATCGAGTCTGGACCAGACAATCCTGTGATTAATATCATGAGCATCGATCCACCCAATTGGGATCGATGACATGCATCAACCAAGTCAGCGAGTCTGACCACCCGATCCTGTTAATCGTCTCTTACGACAGGCATTGTCGCCTACTACGGCAAGCATGGGTTGCTGAAGACCTATTCTATCCCAGGTCAGCGAGCCTGACCACCCGATCCCGTTAGTCGCCTTTTACGACAAGCATAGTCACCTTTTACGATGAAGAAGACAGCAATTCAAGAAGACAGTAAGACAAATTCCATGATTCCCTTATGAACGTCAACAAATACAACTTCAATCCTTATACTGACAGATACTTAAATCAAAACAAAACAATCCAAGGGATAGTATATAGAGGTTATTACGCGAATGTGTGGGGATGGTAAATATCCTGCATTAGGAATAAACACTGTATTTAACGAGCTAAATACATAGTGTTTATTCCAAATATAGGATATTTACTATCCCCACTCACATAACCTCTTTATCATATAATGTCATTCTTTAATTCTGTGCTTCAAGATCGCTTTCCCTCTCTCACAAACATTACCGAAACCGAGTTTTCCTGGAATGCGCGCATTAATATTTGTTAAGTCATAGGGTAAGTGATGTGTCAGTCGGACAGTGATAGTAGCCAATATAGTTCTAACTGAAATCTGTTTCTTATCCAGTGGCGAAGTAACATATACGCAAAACAACAATTGTTTTTAATTGCTTTTCGCGGCAATCCATCGGTCTGTCTGCTAGAGTAACTGCCCTTTGTCAAAGGGAAGCTACTCCAACCCTAGTCTATGAGACGTCACGGCCACGTTCAGACGCTATTGACAGTCGGCCTGTCCTGTCGTAACGTTAAAAAGTGCAATCAGATGTACACACAACGACAATACGAAACAAGGTAACAATTCAAACATATTTCGGCCAAATCCAACTATTATGATTATGACTATGGAAAAGATTCAAGCCGCAGAGATCTACAAGCACAGATATGGCTACTGATCCCGCTTGGCTAGGCCTAGTGCCCTCGCAAAATTGCTTCGAAAATTATATCTCCAAAGTTGCCAAAACTTATAAAATGCCTTAGCCATGTCACAGTTAGACACTGATTTTAAGTATATTAGACTGTTCATTTGATAATGATAGCAATTATCTCTGTAGTTTATCCAGGTTCCCGATGGTTAATTCTGACTCGATTGCCGAATGACGAGGGCGACGCCATGTTTGTTTATAAACAGGGAAAGTAGTCCTACTTGACCTTTGATATTTGCATCTCTATCCACATATGACGCCAACGAATATCGTTTTTATCCGTTGGCTTTATCCTGCCGAGAAACCTACCCATTATATGATAAAGCCGGTTCCTCTGTATGCACATTTGCAAACAACTAAAATTGATTTGTGGAATACGACTTAGATTTGGGGATTGTTAAGTTGGGTATTAGGATAATCTAGCGTTTTCCCACACGCAAAACAATCCGGTACGATCACCTTACCACGGAAACAATGTACTGTCATTGCTGGGTGACAGCCATGTAGGGTCTAAAAGGACCAGGAGCAGTGCTCTCCGCCAGATCCGACTAAAACTGATTCGTGCAAGTGGAATACAACATAGATTAGGGGATTATAAAGTTGATTGTAAGCGCCAATCTGTGCAAGTGCAAGTGATCTGTGCAAGTGGGCTGAGTATATTTACCAAAGTCTAGATGGCAGCTCAGTAACATTGTTGCAGAAAAATGACAATAAAAATAGTTTTCCAAACAGGATCCTTTCCCAGCTCGAACATTCTCATCCCGCATTCAAAAGGAACGCTTTATCTCCAGACATCCTCTCCCACAGCAATCACATTCAACCAAACCATCAGGTGAAGCTCCCATATGCGGATACGCTGACTTAAGGAAAAGACCACAGGTTTCAGACTTCCAGTTTGTATGGTTTGGAGCAGTCTCTCGCTGATACTTGTTCCGTGCTGTTTCCTCATGTTTGCA